GTACTTTGTGCAGCAAGCTTTGTAGTACAAAGTAATACTGGGAATTGCTTTGTGCATGCTTTGTAGTACAAGTAGAATTGGGACGTACTTTGTGCAAGCTTTGTAGCACAAAGTAGTATATACTGGGAAGGACTTTGTGCAAGCTTTGTAGGACAAAGTAGTACGGGGAAGTGCTTTGCGCAAGCTTTGTAGTACAAAGTACTACTGGGAAGTGCTTGTGCAAGCTTTGTAGTACAAAGTAGTACTGGGAAGTGCTTTGTGCAAGCTTTGTAGTACAAAGTAGTACTGGGAAGTGCTTTGTGCAAGCTTTGTAGTACAAAGTAGTACGGGGAAGTGCTTTGTAGTACAAAGTAGTACTGGGAAGTACTCTTTGCAAGCTTTGTAGTGCACAGTAGTAACTTCCGTAGTGCTGGGAAGTAGTTTGTGCAAGCTTTGTAGAACAAAGTAATACTGGGAAATACTTTGTGCAAGCCTTGTATTACAAAGTAGTACTGGGAAGTACTTTTTAGAAGCTTTGTAGTACCCAGATGTACACAGTAGTACTGGGAAGTAGTTTGTGCAAGCTTTGCACTACAGGGTTGTACTGGGAAATACTTTGTGCAAGCTTTGTGGTACAAAGTAGTACTGGGAAGTGCTTTGTGCAAGCTTTGTAGTACAAAGTATTACTGGGGAGTACTTTGTGCCAGCTTTGTAGTACAAAGCAGTATATACTGGGAAGTGTTTTGTGCAAGTCTTGTAGTACTTGTGCAAGCATTGTAGTACAAAGTAATATATACTGGGAAGTGCTTTGTGCAAGCTTTGTAGTACAAAGTAGTACTGGGAAGTGCTTTGTGCAAGCTTTCTAGTACAAAGCAGTGTGCCCACGAACCGACATGAATCGACAAACACGAACCGGAACGAACCGCGGGGTCATGGAACCGGTAAATGAAAACGAACCGCAGGAACCGAACCGCAAATCTATCGGAACCGAACCGAAAATCATAGTTATATTTTAATTTGATGTGAAAAATAAATAGTGCAAGAATGATTATTTATCTATATATTTCTTATACCTTGCCACCCTTCAACAAGCGTTTCGGTCTCAGACATCTTTTTTCTCGAGTCACGAACCCGTAACCCCCCAAGAAGCACTTTCCGGGCCAAACATGGCTTTCCGGGGGTTACGGAAACTTAGCACAGCCGAACAGTTTTCGCCTCGAAATTCTTCCTTGTAATGAAAAGATTCCGGAAATACTATAATCCCCTATAGACCCATGTAGTATATTCAACAATACGATCCCGTAACCCCCCAAGAAGCACTTTCGGGGCCAAACATAGCTTTCCGGGGGTTACGGAAAATCAGTACAGCCGAACAGTTTAGGCTTCGAAATTTTTGTTCGGATAGAAAGATTTGGTAAATTTAGTGAATCCCCATACCCATGTCCTATACTCAACTGTACGATCCCGTAACCCCCGAAGAAGCACTTTCGGGGCCAAACATAGCTTTCCGGGGTTACGGAAAATCAGTACAGCCGAACAGTTTAGGCTTCGAAAATTTCCTTTCGAATAGAAAGATTTGGCAAATTTAGTGAATCCCCATACCTATGTTGTATACTCAACTGTACGATCCCGTAACCCCCCAAGAAGCACTTTCGGGGCCTAACATAGCTTTCCGGGGATTACGGAAAATCAGTACAGCCGAACAGTTTAGGCTTCGAAATTTTTGTTCGAATAGAAAGATTTGGCAAATCTAGTGAATCCCCATACCCATGTCGTATACTCAACTGTACGATCCCGTAACCCCCGAAGAAGCACTTTCGGGGCCAAACATAGCTTTCCGGGGGTTACGGAAAATCAGTACAGCCGAACAGTTTAAGCTTCGAAATTTTCTGTTCGAATAGAAAGATTTGGCAAATTTAGTGAATCCCCATACCCATGTCGTATACTCAACTGTACGATCCTGTAAGCCCCCAAGAAACACTTTCGGGGCCAAACATAGCTTTCTGGGGGTTACGGACATTGAGTGCAGCGGAACAGCTCTGGCTTCGAAATTCTCTATTGCAATGAAAAGATTTAGAAAATTTAGTATTTCCCCATACCCAAATGTAGTATACTCAACTGTACGACCCCGTAACCCCCCTTTAACACTGTCGGACCTAAACTGTGACCTGTTGTTATGTCCAAGTGTTTTTGTCTGGTTCCCTTGCTTGACTAACACAGCGTCTCTCACAGAGTCTCTCGCTGCGGCTACCATTTAACCATGCTTAGGCAACATAGGATTATTACGTTCTAGTCTATTAGTGAATCCATTTCAATGTCATGAACAATCTATGCAACCCAAAAGACCCGCCGGCATTCGAAGATGTTTATGTTTTCCATTTATTCAGCTATGAACGTATCCTAGTCCTGTGACCGGACCTGGGAAATTAAATCTATCTATCTATCGGTCGACCGATCTATCTATCTATCTGCCTACCTACCTATCTATCCATCTATCTATCTATCTATCCAGTTTTTAAAAAGCTCCTAGTCCTGCGACCGGACCTGGGAATGTATACTTATACCTAAATACAATAAAGATCTTATTCACAGATCTGTCTATCTCTCTGTGCTACATCTATCTAGCAATGCAAGAATCCTAATCCTGTGACCGGACCTGGGAAGAATATTAATACATACTTATGCTGATACCTGGCTTTCTATCTACCGATCTATCTTGTTGTGAAAGTATCCTAGTCCTGTGACCGGACCTGGGGATATTTATCTATCTATCCATCGATCTATCTGTCTATCTATCTACCTATCCAGTTATATAAGTATCCTAGTCCTGTGACCGGACCTGGAAATGTATACATATAGTTATATATATATATAAATCAAAATACAGACATCACAATCGATCTACCTCTCTGTACACCATCTATCTAGGTATGTAAGTATCCTAATCCTGTGACCGGACCTGGGAAAAATATGAATACATATTTATGCTGATACCTGGCTATCTATCTACCGATCTATCTTGTTGTGAAAGTATCCTAGTCCTGTGACCGGACCTGGGGATATTTATCTATCTATCCATCGATCTATCTGTCTATCTATCTACCTATCCAGTTATATAAGTATCCTAGTCCTGTGACCGGACCTGGAAATGTATACATATAGTTATATATATATATATATAAATCAAAATACAGACATCACAATCGATCTACCTCTCTGTACACCATCTATCTAGGTATGTAAGTATCCTAATCCTGTGACCGGACCTGGGAATAATATGAATACATATTTATGCTGATACCTGGCTATCTATCTACCTATCTATCTTGTTATGTAAGTATCCCAGTCCTGTGACCGGACGTGGGGTTATCTATCTATCTATCTATCTACCTTTCTATCTACCTTTCTATCTTGGTTATATAAGTTTCCTAGTCCTGTGACCGGACCTGGGAATGTTTACATAGGGTAGAATATATTTGTTTATTGGTAGTAAAATATTTGTACCAAGATCTATCTACCTCTCTGCATTCCATTTATCTTGGTATGTGAAAATCTTAATCCTGACCGGACCTGGGAACCATGTAAATACAAAAAATAAGCTTATACATTTTATCTATCTACCTATCTATCTTGTTGTGTGCGTCTCCTAGTCCTGTGACCGGACCTGGGAATATCTATATACCTTTCTATCTATCTATCTATCTATCTTTGTATCTATCTATCTATCTATCGGGCCCTCTTTCTATCCATCTATCTATCTATCTACCTATCTATCCATCTACCGAGTTATAAAAGTATCCTAGTCCTGCGACCGGACCTGGGAATATATACATAGGGCTAAATACACACACATATATATATATACACATACTATTGATAGCTAAATATTTCTATCAAGATCTATCTACCTGTCTGTAATCGATCTATCTAGGTATGTAAATATCCTAATCCTGTGACCGGACCTGGGTTCCCATATAAATACATTCAAAGAAAGACGCTACATTTTTATCTATCTACCTATCTATCTTGCTGTGTAACTATCCTAGTCCTGTGACCGGACCTGGGGATTTCTATCTACCCATCTATCTATCTATCCATCCATCTATCTATCTATCTATCCCGTTACAAAAGCATCCTAGACCTGCGACCGGACCTGGAAATGTATACGTATAGCTGCATTAAACAACTACCACTACCAATATATATATATATGTATGTATGTATCTATCAAGAATTATCTACCTGTCTGTACTCCATCTATCTAGATATATAAGTATCCTAATCCTGTGACCGGACCTGGAATAATATAATATGACTACATATATTTATATATGCATGTACCTTTCTAGGTATCCTAGTCCTGTGACCGGGCGTGGGGATATCTATCTATCTATCTATCTATCTATCTACCTATCTAACTCTTTAGTTGAATAAGTATCCTAATCCTGTGACCGGACCTGGGGATATATCTATCTACCTACCTATTTATTTCAACTATCTATCTATCCACCCATCAACCTACCTAGCCACACATTGGGATCCATCAGTTCTGGGTTACGTTGAGCAACAAGTTACCAGCGTATCCGTATTTTTTCCTTTCCAATATTTTTTGTTGGGGGTTCTCGATATCACAGGGAACATTTCCCATCAGATTGATTGTTTTCTGGAATAATGGAGCAATGATTCTGCTCCGTCAAAAAAAGAGTACATGGCCTCTCACAAGACTCCTGAAACTCCAAGCATGGTTTGCCCCGGATCTATACACCCAAAGAAAACAGAAAGAATACAGTACCACATAAAGTCACTTGGTAAGATATTCATCTCTGGCAAGGTTTTAATCCCAAGCAGGATAAGCCCGGAGCCGCCGCAGGAATTCATAGCGCCTGCCTTCCAGACTCCTGGAAGGGTCACATGGCGAAGGCATCTTGTTTAGTAATGCCTTTCCAACCCAAGGAACAACCCTCACAAAAGAAAACACCACCGTTTGTTCAGCTGCTGTGGGCAGACGCAAAGCGGTCTAATATATTTTCCATGTTCGTCTCTGTCAGCACAGCTGCCTGTTTCACAGCCCAACAGGCAAGACCCAACACGACAGATCTCAATATGGTCAGAGATCAGTCAACGTCTTGAGGCGCCGGAGATTCTGCTACATCCTGGCCCTCCTCAAAGTCAAAAGGTGCCACAGCCTCAGGTGACATGCGTCGGAGACGCTTGCGGCGAGGCTCTTGAGCTTCGGCACACTGCGCCCCGTACAGGCTTCGGGACAAGGCATCTGGATCGTCCAGCAGCCGCACCAAGCGAAAATCCTTACTCGCTGGGGCAGCTGCGCCACGATGCTCTGTGACCAACGACACTTTGTGCAAGTGTACCTCCAAGTAGTCCTGGAGCGCCGTAGCCATACAGCGCTTCGCATCTTCACTGAACCTGAAGCGCCCTGTGTTCGATGCGGCAATGTCTTGGCAAGTCAACGCCATTGCCTCACTGATCATGCCCTTCTTGATGATACTGTCGCGCCAAAAGCTCGACACAGTCAAACGCTTCTTCATCTTGGCATCGTCAAATCCCAAAGCACACCTTGGCATCTAAAATCAATCTCTCTAGTTTTTGTAAGTATCTAAGCATCCTAATCCTGTGACCGGACCTCGGCAAACATTTGATACATATATATATATATTCTACTTCTGTAGTTACGTACATATCCTAGTCCTGTGACCGGACCTGGGAAAAGAAATATACACCTATTTTTCTTTTTATCCTTCGATCTTTTGAGCTATCTATTGCTTGATCTATCTATCTATCGATCTATCTACCTACGTAAGTAGTCCTGCGACTGGACCTTGGACCGTATGTAGCTAACTATGAATAAATACATCTATATATAACTATGCCACGTTATTTTCTATTCAGTTCGGTCTGTACATATCCTAGTCCCGTGACCGGAGCTGGAGATACATATAAATACATACGTAAACACGTAGAACAATCTGACTTCTGGTCATTTAGTTACGCCAGTATCCTAGTGCTGTGAGCGGACACGGGAACATAAAAAAAAGATATCGTTCAATCTATCGATCTATCTATCTATCTATCTATTTATCTATCTATCTATCTATCTATCTATCTCTTATTATTGAGGCATGTAAGTATCCTAGTCCTGCGACCGGACCTGGGAAGGTAAAAAAAATATCTATCTATCTATGTACCTAAAAAACTGTCTGGACCTGGGAGTTTCAATTTATCTGAGCATTTTCTATTCAGATATTTATTTTTAGTTATCTCCCAATAAATGGAAAAGAAATTCCTACTAATTCAATGGTGTTTCACTTTTCCATCTGTTTGGGGATGATTATAAGTATCCTCATCCTGTGACAGGACGTGGGAATGTTTAAACAAACATAGATCGATCGATCTATTTATCTATCTCTCTCCTTCTTAGGGCATGTAAGTACCCTAGCCCTGCGACCTGGGAAGTTAAAAAAATACCTATAGATCTATCTATCTATCTGTCTATCTATCTACCTAACAATCTCTCTAGTCATGGAACTATCCTAGTCCTGTGACCGGACCTGGGAATTTCAATCTATCTATGTATTTTCTATTCAGATAATTATGTGAAGCCACCCCCAAATAGATGGAAAAGAAATTCCCTACAAAATGAATGGTGATTTACTGTTCCATCTATTTGGGGTTGACTGTAAGAATCCTAATCCTGGGACCGGACCTGGGAACGTAAGCCAAAATATCTATCTATCTCTCTCTCTCCCTCCCTCTCTATCTCTCTCTCTCAATCTATCTATCTCCTATTTAGGCATGTAAGTATCCTAGTCCTGCGACCGGACCTGGGAAGGTAAAAAAAAGACAGGTATCTATTTATCTGTCTATCTATGTATCTATTCATATACCTAACAATCCATCTAGTCATGTAACTATCCTAGTCCTGTGACCGGACCTGGGAATGTCAATCTATCTATGTATGTTCGAATCAAAAACACATATAAGCATCCTAGTCCTGTGACCGGACCTGGGAAACAAAAAAAAGATGCCTATCGATCTATCTTTCTATCTATCTATCTGTCAACCTATCTATATACATAACAATCTATCTAGTCATGGAACTATCCTAGTCCTGTGACCGGACCTGGGAATTTCAATCTATCTATGTATTTTCTATTCAGATAATTATGTATAGTCACCCCCAAATAGATTGAAAAGAAATTCCCTACTAATTCAATGGTGCTTTACTGTTCCATCCATTTGTAAGAATCCTAAACCTGTGACCGGACCTGGGAACCTAAGCCAAAATATCTATCTATCTCTCTATATATATATATATCTATAATGGTCATGCGTTTAGCCAATAACTCAACTTCACAGACATGTGCCAAGTTTCTTCTCAATGCCCTCAGCGATCAGCTGCGTCTTTACCAGCCAAGCACCACATTCGGTCTTCTCCACACGTTGCACTGACTGTTTGCAATGGGGACAGGCGGTGTGCGGAGGAGTGAACAACTCAAAGACTTTGGCGCAATCGTGGCAAAACACCGGAACCTGCAGCATAGGGAGGTTTCCAAAGAAACTCGAACAAGATACTCTAAACAAGTACTTCTGCAACCAAACAAATGGAGGTGCTTGTGTTCTGCATACCTAGTCCTGATTGCTTCGACCCGACGCATTGACCAGGCCATAGATAGATTTGAAACTTTTGAAACTTTCCATTGCAAGCAAGAATCCAACTCCACTGTGTCGTCCAACAACACCTCTGTGAGGACCTTCACCTCCATGCTCTTCTGGGCAGAGGATCCTTTGGCCAAAGTCACCACTCCATCGCATGGCGCAGCAAAAGCGCGAGCGACGCCACTTCCCGTGAGCTTCTTCAACATGTCCTGATCCTCCTGCTGAGCTCGGTCTCGATACGGCTGCTTCTCCTCACGGCAAGATATGGAAAAAAAGGTTCAGTATACTCCAATCTTGAAATAGCAGCAAGCCAACTGCTTTTTTCAGAGTAGCATACTGTCATTTTTGGAAAAAATATTTGGGGAACTACATCAGAAGCTGGCACTGTTGGGATCCACTCTCCCTTTTCCACACGGCCCGTGAAAAAAAGAAATGCCATCGGCACGGAAGCCACCTCGTCAGTGAGAGCACGCCACTTTGCACTGCCAGCCGTCGGGGAGAGTTTCATTTCCTGCGGTGCCGAGCGGGCAGGCAGAAGAAAAGGTGGGAACGCAGCGGCAGTCCCTTATTTCCTACTGTGAATTCGGTTTTGTGGGCTGCATGCACTCTATCACTACTACCTATCTGGTTTGGTGCGAACAATTTGTAGCCATCAGGAATTGCCAAATGGAAACCGTCCTTGAGGAAAAGTTGAAAAGGCCGAAAGGGCTGGCAACGAGGCGGAGCTGCTTTCTTGGCCATGGCTATCTGGTCTCAAAAAAATGCGATGCTTCTGGTCGCCTGGGCCAGTTCTCGCGTGCAGGAGGCCGTGCCAACCCAAGCGACCATGGTCATGAGATCGTGACTTTGCCACTTGCCAGGTCTCCAAATCACGATTTCCATTCAAATTTGTGTACCTTCCCTTCCCGATAAGCAAATTAGATCTAATTATTGGAAATACAGCCAGCAATTTCCCTGCGCAGCTTTTGGTCTACTTCCCTTCCCAGCACTCTAACCGCTGTTCTGCTCGTCTACTTCGTGCAACACAGACAGCCCAAGAGAGACGTTGCCATGCCCAAAAATTAGAGCGGCAGCCCGCTCAGGAGCAAGACGCGGGCGCCGAGAGGTCACACACCTCCCAGCACCCGAGAACAAACGTTCCAGCCCTGCGCTGGATGGCAAAATGCCAAGGATTTCCCTAGCCAAAATGGCCAGGCACGGGAAAAACACCGCATGCTCTTTCCAAAATGCAAGCGGCGATGCCTCTTTTGACAAAGTTTCCATAGATGGAATTTTGTCCCACAAATCCAACTCTGTTTCTACTTGTCCGGCTAAATTCGCGGCCTGTTGCCACAGCGGCTCATTGTTTTCAGGTCCAAACAAAAATTCTTCGGCAGAGGTTTTCCTCTTCAATGTCCTCCGTCCCCTGGGAGATGCTTGGTTGTCAGCATGACCTCCTCTGCCACGGCCGCGACCATGGGCGCCACGGCCTCTAGCACGACCGCCCGCACCATCAGCAGCACCAACTGCGAGCAGTCTGTGCGGGATTTGCTGCTGATTTGCCAAGGCTTGTTCCAAGAGTGGTGAATCAGCTGCACGCTGCAAAGTCAATGCTTTCACATTTCCGCGAACTTCTGCTCTTTTCGCGCGAGAGAACACAGCATGCTGCTTGAAACGTGGATCCAGAAAGGTTGCGGCCTGCAAAAGCTCCAAGCCCGTTGTCCCAGACAAGTGTCGATCCTGTGTTTTTCCCAAATCTGCTATCAAGAATTCGAGCAGCCTTTTGCTCAGCGGCTTCATGTTTGCCACCTTCACCACTCTTTTTGGAGGCCTCAGCGCAGCGCGGCCAACATCCGCAAGATGGATTCCAGGGCCCGATTGGTGTGGTCCAGAGTCTCTAGAGAAACCCACTATAGCCTTTCCCAAGATACGGAATAATATTGTCAGTTTTTGAAGCCACTGAAATCTGTTCCCCATTCACACCTCATGTTCTAACTATACGCAACTGCTGGCGCAAATACATGCAGTTATACATTGTTCCCGTGATATCAGAAAAACCAGCCCCACAATCCTATCCCTTGGTTAGGTGTTTTGTCCCCAACAGCGTAAGCTAATGTGGTCTTCAGCCCAGGTTCAACAGGGTTCCGGAGAAGGTTCCGGAGAAGGTTCCGGAGAAGGTTCCGAAGAAGGTTCCGGAGAAGGTCTGGGAAGCTTTGGTGCAGAGCCAGGTCAGGCTCAACAGGGTCCCGGAGAAGGTTCCGGAGAAGGTGTGGGAAGAGGTTCTGAAGAAGGTTCCAGAGACGATTCGGGGAGGCTTTGTTGCAGAGTCAGGTCTGGGAGGCTTTGGTGCAGCCAGGTCAGAAGGTTCGCGGAGAAAGTTCAACAGGGCCCCGGAGAAGATTCGGGAGAAGGTCTGGGAGGCTTGGTGCAGAGCCAGGTCAGGTTCAACAGGGTGCCGGAGAAGGTTCCGGAGAAGGTGTGGTAGGCTTTGGTGCGGAGAAGGTCCGGAGAAGGTCTGGGAGGGGGATCTGAAGAATGCCTGGAGAAGGTTCCGCAGAAGTGTAGGAGGTTTTGGTGCAGAGCCAAGTTAGGTTCAACAGGGTTCCGGAGAAGGTTCAGGAGAAGGTCTGGGAGCGGGTTCTGCCGAATGTCCCGGGAAGGTTTCGGAGAAGGTTCCGGCAGGTTCAACAGGGTTCCGGAGAAGGTTCCGGAGAAGGTTCCGGAGAAGGTTCCAGGAAGCCTTGGTGCAAAGCCAAGCCAAGTCAAGTTCAACGGCTTCCGGAGAAGGTTGCAAAGCCAAGCCAGGTCAGGTCAGGTTCACTTAACTCACGGAAACCCAGCTGAGGTGTTTCCAGCGCTTAGCTTCGCAGCACGCTTCAGAAAGATTTGTAACAGTAAAACCTTGCGGCTGTTGGGGATACCACCGAAACCTTTTTTTTCTAATCTCCAGTGACATGTCGGGAAATCTATGTCATTTTCATCTTTCTGTGACCTGGAGAATGTTCAAGACATGATCCTGACGAGCAGCTGCAACCGTTGGAGGTCCTTCTGCACCTTGAGCTCAGGTTTCTTCAACGCATTGCCAATCGAATGCCAGCAAGGCAGATAAACGCTGCAAGTGACAGTGTCACCTTCCAATAATCTCGTTGCTGCTTCAAAAGGCGCAAGCACAGCACAGATCTCTCTGCCCAAAGCCACGTCGGCCTCGGAGAACCCATCCGGCGCCCGGGTACTGTGGCGATGCTTGGACAGCATGTGGGCGGAGTTGTTTTTCAATGTAGACATGGCGCTATACAAAGACGAACTCCACCTCGTAGGTGTCTCTGACTGGTAGGCCTGACAATGCAAACCTGCTTCCTTGGCATCACGCTCCAACTGCAACACCACGTCCGAATTGTGCCGGTAGAACTTGACGATGTCTCGTGAGTGTGCAAACCACGGTTTGAGATCCTGGCACAGGTGGACTTTTTCTTCTGGCAAGTTGAACACAAGCAAGCTCCATTGGCAAGGACAACCAGGCTCGAACCCCAATGTTGATTTCAGAGGGTTATATGAAAAGCCCGATTTGATTCTATCAAATTATGTAAGTATCCTATAGTCCTGTGCCTGGACCTGTGAAAGTATGTATATATTATCTGTATAATCAAGAAAATAAATGCACACATCTATTTGCATACGTATAAATAAATATAATATGTATATATAAAATATCTATCTTCTATCCACCTATCTAGCTAGGTATGTAAGTATCCTAGTCACATGTTTCTGGCATCCACAAAAGATATAGAGATATCCACATAACTATTGCAGGGTGTGATGACGTCTCCCAAAAAATATAGTTTTCCCCTTCAGGTTCTGCCCAAACCAGAAACCAGCAATAGAAACAACGCTCCTTCCGCAAAGCCTTTGCAACGGGGTCTGCCCGTCTGCCAGGTCGCCTCTGTTGTTCTTCCTCCGTATCCGACGATGATGCGCTGCTGGAACTGTCACTACCAGATTCGGAATCCTCTGCTGAACGAAGAGGTGGCATGCAATGTTTGATCGGGAGCCTCAGGCAGGTCTGCAAAAGATTGCCGAAAAAATTACTCCTTCGGGTCCACACACATTTATTTGCAATCACAATCTTTTGGTAGAAATCCGGTCACTCCCACTGCTCGCTCTGCGCACCTTTGTGCGGGCGGATTTACTTTGGGGGACCATATGTGACCGCACCGATATTTGCCTCCAAACGTGCCCTCAAGTTGCAACCATGCTGGACCCCAATTGAGCTCAACCTGGGCCCACAAGTGGTGGCCAACTGGCCCGAGTTGGACGCAATTACTTCCAAGTTGGGCCCAAGCTGGCTCCTGTTCAGCCCAACAGCCAAGTTTCACCCCAGTCGCACTGGTTTTGCAAGATCTACTTTCCGTCCGAAGGAGATGTGCCGAAGGTCGAAGATGTCAAGCAGGTGGTGGATGCTGGCTTTGAGCCTTCAAAGGAATGTTGAACCACATTCGGTCCAAGCACCCTCAGCATTTGCCATGTGAAGATCCAGATATGAGAAAGAAGAAGATCGACCTGCACCCGCTCCTGGGCCGCATGCATGGTGTCGGAGCCTTCATGACGGTCAACCTGATCGATGACACGCATGTCAAAGCGGTTCTTGATCTCCTTCCGCCAGATTTGGCGCATGGCAGAAAGCTTCAGGAGGAAGTGGACTGTGTTGCGTGTACTCTTCGGGATGAGGTAGCCCGCAGAGTGGCGGCGGCAAAGGAGCAAGGATGCCGCTTCTGCACTTCTGCAAACAGATGGAAACCGAAGACGTAATTTCGCAGATCCTAGGTCCTATGTTACTGTCTATTTGCATTGGGTTGACAACACTTGGACGCGCAACGCAGTTTGTGCAGGTGTGAAAGAGACGCACCCGCCAAGGACTAGCGAACTCTACAGAGATACATTTTCTGACGATATTGGATGACCTGGGCTTGGAAACAAAAGATTTGAATGGCATGAGTTCTCTGGGTGCGGTGCGGGTCAGTCTCGTCGCGAAGCGACTCGAAGACGGTTGCATATATAAGGCCATCCAAGTAACTGTGCAGCATGGCAGCCGCAGCCGACCAAAGGGAGACTTTTGCCAGCAGACGTCAGCAAGCGTAAACCTTTGCGAATGGCCCCCTCGTGGTCGCTCATGCCACAGCTCAAATCTTTGGTTTCCAAGTCCAGGTCATCCAAAATCGTCAGAAATGTATCCCTGTACAGTTCGCCAGTCCTTGGCGGATGCGTTTCTTGCACACCTGCGCAAACTGCGTTGCGCGTCCAAGTGTTGTCAACCCAGTGCAGGTACACAGCAACATAGGATCTGCGAATTTTCATCCTCGGTTTCCAACTGTCCGCAGAAATGCAGAAGCGGCATCCTTGCTCCTTTGCCTCTGCCACTCTGCGGGCTACCTCATCCCGAAGACCTTGTACAACACAGTCCACTTCCTCCTGAAGCTTTCCGCCGTGGGCCAAACCTGGGAGACGGGGATCAAGAACTGCTCGGAGATGCATGTCATCAATCAGGTTGACCGGCATCAAGGCTCCCAACACCATGTGTTCGGCCCAGGAGCGGAGCAATTGCAGGTCGATCTTCTTCTTTCTCATATCTGGATCTTCACACGCCCGGACCAGCTGCATATGCTCTGGCAAATGCTGAGGGTGCTTGGACCGAATGTGGTTCACCATGTTGGATGGAGTGTGCCGATTCAGAACGCATCCTCTCCATTCCTTCGAAGGCTCAAAGCCGGCATCCATCACCTGCTTCACATCGTCGACCTTCGGTACATCTCCTTCGGAAGGAAAGCAGAGTTTGCAAAACCTATAGTGCTGCGTACCCAGACGCTTTGGCCAGAACAGTGCATGCACTTGGGATCTTGCCGCCATGGCACACGGCTATGTCTGTCTTTATGTGTGTCTGTATATGTGTATGTCTGTCTGCGACTATGTCTGTATCTACGTCTGTCGCTTAGAGATAGGTGCCTGCACGGCTGCTCATTCCAGCAGCACTGGTGTCCAAAAACTGTCATCCTGTGATATTGGCTCTATTAATAATGTAAGAAGTTGAAAATATCTGCAGAAAAAATGCCCAAAGGCTACGTCCGAAGTTTGCTTCGTACCCTTTATGTGTCAGCATGGTCTTCATGTGCCTTTGAGCCTTGTTTTGTTCCGTTCAGCCGGAGGACATGAACTCAAGGACGACAGGAAGCACAACTTCCTAAGAAGATCGATGATGTGTTTTCAAAGCATCTGATACAGGCATGTCTCTGTTTTATATTTAGAAACCAGTTATGGTACAGAAAACGCATTGCCAAATGTCTGATCTCACTGAAGAACGCCCAGCTGACACGGGAATGCTAAACGGACCGAGGCTGATTCCCACAGCTCATCAAAATTCCTTTCTTGTCGTCATTGGATATTCCCGTAACATGGAGAATCCGAACAGGATACTCATCTGTTTTTTTGCGTTCTTCATCTATAGAAAAGCCGCGAAAGAAAATTTGCAAGCAATATTATACCCAGCAACACAATGCAGAAGCTATTGATCTGATCTTTGGTCATGCATGCCCTTTACAAAAATTACATGCCTTCGTGGCACGGGATTTTCCACTTCCCCAGCAGCAACGTCTCCTCGGAATCATTTGGGTGAAGACCAACGCGGCCAAAGGTTCCTCGGCCAAGTCTGCTAGAATATACGAGGAAAGGAAAGAAAGAAAAAAGGAATGGAAGAGGAAAGGACAAGGAAGGAAAAGGGAAGTAAGGAAATCAAAAGTTTTGAAAGACCAAATAAGAAGAACAGAAGAACAAAAGAAGAAAGAATGACAGCGGAAGGGAAGAAAACAAGGAACAACAGAAGGGGAAAAAAAAAAGGACAAAAAATAGGTCAAGAGCAGCAGAAAAAAAGGCAAGAAAAGCCGAGGAGATAGGGGAAATAGAACGAAAGAAGGAAAGTGTTCTGTGGTTTGCTGCCACATATATAAATATATATATATGTCACAAGGGGGGAGAGAGAAAGAGAGAGAGAGAGAGAGATAAAGATAAAGTATCATAACATATACATATACATGTACATATATAGAAGTAACGTCAACAAATATGGTTGGAATCTTTAACAACAACAAAAGGCATGCATTACTAAAAAATGCAAAACGTATATATTTCAGTATACGCATCCATTTGAATATATATATATATACAAATATATGAGTATATTTGTCAGTAAATGTGTACATTTGAGAGTATGCATACCCACCATCTCCATCCATTTCTATCAAGCGCTTAGCTCCTTCGCTTTCCAAGCAACCATATGCTGGTTTCCACAATGATGGTAGCCCCAAATCATCCATTTTAATAGATTTTAATAGGAATTTCCATTATAAGGGTAACCCCCAGTCAGGCATGGTGCCTTTCCCAGCATTTTGTCAAGGAACCAGGAGCTGGTCTGTTCGTCTATCGGCAAAATGCAGAGCATCAGGGCCAGCTGCTCCAGGAATTTCCTCACAGTGCGCGTGGGTGACAAAGGGATCCCGGATGGGCTGGATCTGAACGAGGGGGATCCCAATCTTTGGTTGAAATGGTTTTGATAAAACCATTTCAAGAGCGAGGACAAAAAAAACAACGATTCTGAGATATGTGGTTTATTCAGAAGTACTCTTGTAATAACAGTAAAGCAACGAATACTCATTGGATCTTCTGAAAAAAAAACGCGAAATCACAGCATCCAGATCACCCACGGCCCGTCCTGGGCGGTGCATCTTGGAGCTCTTCCGAGTTGGTGTCCTGGTGACCATTGACTCAGGCGGTTTTTTCTTCATGGTTGTACTTTAAATAATGCACTTAGTAGAAAAAAAATTCAAACACTAACATATGTTCTAAATAGCAAACGAAATTCAGAAACCCACGGACTTGACCCACAACCACATCGCACAAAGGTCGGAAGCGTCGTTGAAAGAGTCCTCCAGATGTGGCAGCAAAGCGTCTGAAAACATCTTGTCGATAATCATCTGCCGGCTCCTGCAGCTTCTGTGAATCCCACATGATGATAGAGGACTCCAAAAAGAAACATCCTCCGTCCTCCACTCGGGAGATTTTCAGGGGGAAGGAATATAGTCATGATTGGTGACTATACCTATTTTGATGTTACAAATCTAATTTTTGACTTGGGTTGGCCAAGAACAGGGTAACCCCAACCTAAAGGTTTTATCTGTTTGCCATTCAAATTGCAATGTTGGGGTATATATGTATCATAGGTATACCACTAATATCCCAGTAACATCCCATTAATATTACCTTAATGTTCCATTCATATCCATTCTGGATTTGTCATATCCTATTATTATGTTTCCTAAAATGGTCATCCAGGACTTGGCAACACCCCCAAAAAAAACTTGATACATACCCTCTGGCAAACTAAAATAGCTATGGAAAATCACCATGTCCAATAGGTCAATCAACTATACATGGCAATTTTCAATAGTTACGTACCAGAGGGTATCCCACTAAAAAAATAAAAGTGCAGAAAACATCCCCCACTTCCCCACAACACTCTCCGATCCGCCTCTTGTTGTTGGAAAATCACCATGTCCAATAGGTCAATCAACTATACATGGCAATTTTCAATAGTTACGTACCAGAGGGTATCCCACTAAAAAAATAAAAGTGCAGAAAACATCCCCCACTTCCCCACAACACTCTCCGATCCGCCTCTTGTTGTTGTGGGCCTCCACCACGAAGCTTTCGGAGATCCACCCTCTCAAGGCTTCCAAACCCTCTGGAACCGCCACCTCGTCAACGGAGTGAAACCACGTGAAACCAAGGAGATCATGGGATGGATATATCGGAATATACTTCCATGGAATGACACATAAGTGTATATAATTATATATAAATTGGGAAACACAGTAGGAATATAATTGGAATGATCTCCCAACTTTGAAGTTCCACCTGGTGGTGTTTAACATGTTTTAACCCCCAAAGTTATGCCAGTGACTTGGGATCATCCTGGCGACATCATGCGACATGTCTCCGAAAAATGTTGGATCGGTCCTAGTCCAGGAGTTAGCCGCAGTTAGCCAAAACAATCCGATATGAATACTCAGTTATTAAATGTTACTAAGGTTTTCTGGATACACTCAGTTATTCAATGTCCTTTAAGGTTTGAATATATATATATATAAATATATATCAAATATATAGAGACATGAACGTTACTAAACAACAGTATGTTAATATACATACACTATCTCTTACTCAATGTCCGTCGCAACAGTATAGACAATCAGCTGTATCACTCATGTGTGTGTGTGTCGGGATCTGTCGCTCTAAAGCAGCTTTTGGAGCGCTCTCCAAACACCCCAACACTGTCAAACTTTGATTCGAAAAAAATCAACAAAGTTTTGTCCATCCCAAGATGTCTTTCATTGGCGCAGGACCACATAGTACTCAAGTTGGGGTCCGCACTGGGCGGCTGCGTCAGCAAAACGTGGAGGATGTTGCCAGGCAGCGGCCGCGCCAGAAGGTGTCGTTCCAAATTGGATTTCTTTAAAATATATTATTGGTAAAAATGCAACTAGAACAAAAAAACAATGATAAGACATATACCCAGGAATCCGCCAACAAGATAAACACTTTACTAGTAGATACGAGCCGGCATGCACCGACAAATTCAATGGACATTACTTCTGTTGTGTTGTGGCAAAATTTCCGTAAACCCTGGAAAACAATGTTAGACTCCGAAAGTGCTTCTTGGGTTGTTACAGGATCGTACTGTTGAGTATGGGGGATTACCGTTTTTTCAAAATCTTTCTATTTGAACAGAAAATTTCGAAGCCAAAGCTCTACTGATTTTCCGTAACCCCCGGAAAGCTATGTTTGACCCCAAAAGTGCTTCTAGGGGGGTTACGGGATCGTACTGTTAAGTATACTAGATGAGTATGGGGGATTACTGTATTTGCTAAATCTTTCTATTCAAATAGAGATTCGAGGCCAAAGCTGTTCGGCTGTACTGACTTTCCGTAACCCCCGGAAAGCTATGTTTGACCCCGAAAGTGCTTCTTGGGGGGTTACGGGGTCCTACAGTTGAGTATACTACATTTGGGTATGGGGAAATACAAAATTTTCTAAATCTTTTGATTGCAATAGAGAATTTCAAAGCCAGAGCTGTTCCGCTGCACTCAATGTCCGTAACCCCCAGAAAGCTATGTTTGGCCCCGAGAGTGCTTCTTGGGGGGTTACGGGATCGTACCGTTCAGTATGCTACATTGGTATGGGTGATTACTAAATTTTCTTATTTCTATTCGAACAGAGAATTTCGAAGCCCAGGCTGTTCGGCTGTTCTGATTTTCCGTAACCCCCTTCAAGCTATGTTTGGCCCCGAAAGTGCTTCTTGGGGGGTTACAGGATCGGACAGTTGAGTATACGACATGGGTATGGGGATTCACTAAATTTGCCAAATCTTTCTTTTCGAACAGAGAATTTCGAAGCCAAAGCGGTTCGGCTGCACTGATTTTCCGTAACCCCCGGAAAGCTATGTTTGGCCCCGAAAGTGCATCTTGGAGGGTTACGGGATCGTACAGTTGAGTATACGACATGGGTATGGGGATTCACTAAATTTGCCAAATCTTTCTTTTCGAACAGAGAATTTCGAAGCCAAAGCGGTTCGGCTGTACTAATTTTCCGTAACCCCCAGAAAGCTATGTTTGGCCCCGAAAGTGCTTCTTGGGGGGTTACGGGGTCCTACAGTTGAGTATACTAGATTTGGGTATGGGGAAATACTAAATTTTCAAAATCTTTTCATTGCAGTAGAGAATTTCGAAGCCCGAGCTGTTCCGCTGCACTCAATTTCCGTAACCCCCAGAAAGCTATGTTTGGCCCCGAAAGTGCTTCTTGGGGGGTTACGGGATCGTACCGTTCAGTATGCGACATTGGTATGGGGGATTACTAAATTTTCTTATTTCTATTCGAACAGAGAATTTCGAAGCCCAGGCCGAAGCTGTTCGGCTGTTCTGATTTTCCGTAACCCCCGGAAAGCTATGTTTGGCCACGAAAGTGCTTCTTGGGGGGTTACGGGATCGTACAGTTGAGTATACGACAGGGGTAAGGGGATTCACTAAATTTGCCAAATGTTTCTATTCGAACAGAAAAGTTCGAAGCCGAGGCTGTTCGGCTGTTCTGATTTTCCGTAACCCCCGGAAAGCTATGTTTGGCCCCGAAAGTGCATCTTGGGGGGTTACGGGATCGTACAGTTGAGTATACGACATGGGTATGGGGATTCACTAAATTTGCCAAATCTTTCTTTTCGAACAGAGAATTTCGAAGCCAAAGCGGTTCGGCTGTAGTCATTTTCCGTGACCCCCGGAAAGCTATGTTTGGCCCCGAAAAGTGCTTCTTGGGGGGTTACGGGATCATACTGTTGAGCATACTACATGGGTATAGGGATTCCTGTAGTTTTTAAATCTTTCCATATGAATAGAGAATTTCGAATCCTAAACTGTTCGGTTGTACTGATTTTCCGTAACCCCCAGAAAGCTATGTTTGGCCCCGAAAGTGCTTCTTGGGGGGTTACGGGGTCCTACAGTTGAGTATACTAGATTTGGGTATGGGGAAATACTAAATTTTCAAAATCTTTTCATTGCAGTAGAGAATTTCGAAGCCCGAGCTGTTCCGCTGCACTCAATTTCCGTAACCCCCAGAAAGCTATGTTTGGCCCCGAAAGTGCTTCTTGGGGGGTTACGGGGTCGTACCGTTCAGTATGCTACATTTGGGTATGGGGAATTACTAAATTTTCAAAATCTTATCTCTAAACTGCGTCCCTTAACCAAAACAGCACACACCATTCAGTGTTATGTTTCGACACGCAACATCCATCCACCGTAAACTGACATGGGATCAACATAAACAGGGAACCCAAACACACTACGTATAATGGCACACCGATACAACACCACATGTGCGTAATATAAACGTATGCAACAAAGAACTTGCCACGCGACGCAAACTTAGTGACTTCAATGGATTCCTCAGGTGGATCAAACTGAAACAAAAATAATGCAGAAACGAAAAATCAAAACAGCGACTGCCAGCACATGTATTCAAAATCAGTTGGTGAAACAAAGCTGTCCCGCGCCCACGCTCTTCATATTATTTCTTTTTGCTCATTCGTTATTGCATGCGTCCTGAGACGTCTGGGGTTTACGTACAACGGTCGTCAATCGCCACAAAGTTTCTGGTTTCACACAATTGCCACACGGGCAGATAGCTTAAGCCAAACACAATGGTCATTCGACCCAACAATGTTTTGTGACAGTGATTCCCCCAAACGCGGGGTTGGGTTGGGCGGGAGCGTTTTTGCGCTCCTACAATAGGCTGAGCCCTACTGCAGATATAACCGCACATTTCAAGATACTCAAGTTGCACTCAAACAGTTGACAGTTGTTCTGAGTTTTCTCCTGAAAACGTTTACATATATATATATATACACAAGTATAAGATCACCTTCACAAGTCGACCTTAAGACCTCAGCGATTCAACGTTTTCAAACAAACTCTTGCAACACGTGGAACAGTGTGTAAAGACCCCTCAAATAGTAACAACTGTCAGAAACACAAAAACCGTCTCAACATGACCTGTTTGTTGTGTTCACAAAAACACACGCACAAAAGCGGGCAGTGTGCAAGTTTGCTACACACAGATACGTGAGACCCTCAAACAATAACCCCTTGATCAACACCGTTAACGGCGTCGCGCAGGACAGGGACAAAGGTCGCAAGACAATGGCCAGAAGCCAGACAAAAAACAATTCCGCGTGCACGACAAATAACAAAGGAGAAGGGACGTTGACACTGCGCAGTCTATAGATGGCGCTCTCAATTCCATTGAACGCTATCATCTCTAAACTGCGTCCCTTAACCAAAACAGCACACACCATTCAGTGTTATGTTTCGACACGCAACATCCATCCACCGTAAACTGACATGGGATCAACATAAACAGGGAACCCAAACACACTACGTATAATGGCACACCGATACAACACCACATGTGCGTAATATAAACGTATGCAACAAAGAACTTGCCACGCGACGCAAACTTAGTGACTTCAATGGATTCCTCAGGTGGATCAAACTGAAACAAAAATAATGCAGAAACGAAAAATCAAAACAGCGACTGCCAGCACATGTATTCAAAATCAGTTGTTATCAAACCTTGGTCTACCTCTTTCCTACGCGTACGCTCTTGCGCATTTCCGCTTTATTAAAAACTTAGACACAAAACATATATATATGACATAGTACACTCAAGTACCACATATATATATATATTTAAAAAAAAAACGAGCACGTCAATAAAAAATTCACATCACTGAAGTGGAACAACGACAGCTCACTCACGGTCTTATTAAATCTCACCTTTTTATTCTTTCAATAAATTGGGGAGTCGGCACGCTTTCGTGATTGCGTAAGACGCCTTCGCATCTCACGCCCGGAGGGGGGTTTTGGGAGGGCGGGTCAGCCTCCGGGAAGTGAGACTTTGTCCCACCCACCCACCCTTGAAACTTAAAAAGACGGATGTCAAAAAACTGTTCAAACAAAACAGAGATCCACAAAAGGATCAAAACACTGAGGTTTGTTTTGACAGTTTGTTTGCAACAGCAACTTAAACAAGTTTGGGAGTTAAGAGGTCAATACCTTAAACTTCCAAAGCGCGAAACGCAGGGACGCGAGGCGCACGCGTGGAGGAAGAGAGGACGGTGGCTTCCCACCTGTAGACTAGGTTTTATAAGGGCTCATCACTAAAGTGAGACGCAACTTATCAAACCTTGGCCTACCTCTCTCCTACGCGTACGCTCTTGCGCATTTCCGCTTTATTAAAAACTTAGACACAAAAACATATATATATATATATACGACATAGTACACTCAAGTACCACATATATATATATAAAAACGAGCACGTCAATAAAAAAATCACATCACTGAAGTGGAACAACGACAGCTCACTCACGGTCTTATTAAATCTCACCTTTTTATTCTTTCAATAAATTGGGGAGTCGGCACGCTTTCGTGATTGCGTAAGACGCCTTCGCATCTCACGCCTTCCACCCCTCTTCATTATTTCGTGAGATCGTAGCGTGGTGAGCAGCGTTTGAAGCCCTTTGCTTCGAGTTCAGAGAATTGCAAACGAGATGGGTCATCGCTCAAATTCGACTTGGAAGGTACTCGAGTGTACCAGTGCATTGCTTGTAACTCAACGTCCAACCTCGCGTTGATAACCAAAAGTTCGTAGTTTTCAAATATGAGCGAATGACTGCAGCAAGAGAAGAGTTATTGTCAATGAACCAGAGGACAGCTCGTCCTGATATCAAATGACTCCAAGTGTTCTTTGCAACAAGGACCGGAAATAGTTCAGCCTGACAGATCAGCTGCTTCTTTCCTTCTGTGCGCCACTTGTCTGTCCAGCAAGTTGGTACATAGTCACCAAACATCAAGGCTTGATGTGATTCAGGGTCGTAATAGGCAGCCCCATGAGTCACACACAGGCCATCTTCCTCACAAGCTCCGTCTGTGAATATGATAAGCGGGGGTCTTCCTGACCAGGCAGAAACATGACGTGGTTTTGCATCCATCAAACAAAGCAGTGCCGCATTGATAACTTCCTTGAGTTTTTCATCGAGTACCACCAGTGGCCCTCTCCTGGCAACTCGAGAAATAAGTTGTATTGCAAGCTGAGAACACCTCCCAAATGTGTGACCCGCTGCATATAACAGCCTGCCTTTCAAGGTTTCGAGCAGCGAGAGCGCGACTGTCTCGCTTTGACAAATGCTTTGAACCAGGCTCTGCAAATCAGCAATTCGAGACGGTTTGTTGTGAACCGCCACAAGCCCAGCTGTAGACCGCGTCAGGTCAACCACCGCTCCAAGAAGGTTAAATTCTCCAGCGAAAGGCGAGCGCTTATCTTCAGACATGGAAATGCGCCAGCCCAAAAGCTTCATCACAAACTCTGCTGTCTCCCATGCTGAATCGCATAGACCTTCGCACTCAAGCTGACAAAAATCGTCGAAAAAATTTGTGTTGATCACCATGAAAAGCTCTGAAAGAATCAGCCTTAATGCCTTTGCCATCCTATTAAACGCCATCACAGCGCATACAGACCCGAACGGCAGGGCGACTGACTCGTAAAATTCGACTGTGCCAGCATCATCATTCCAAACCGCAAGGATGGCTGCCCAGCTGTCAGTTGGATGCCGGGCAAGTTGCTTGTAAGCACTCTTCAGATCTAGCGCCCTTCCAAATATCTTTCGCCAGGGCCCTGTGAAGAATCTGACCCGTTCGGAGCACCACAAGTTGTCAAGTTCATCATCCATCATCAAGAAGTCGCAACCAAGGAAGGTACGCGCTGTGTTGACAACCTCGTCTAGTCCAAACAACTGCAGTTTCTCGGTCGCCGTTACAGAGGCGTTCACCAAAAATTCAGAAAAATCATCGACCGCCCGTATCTTTCCACCTTGTCTCACCCCGAACCTTTTCGACGGGATCCAGCAACCATCAAACTTTTGGTCCAATTCTGAGGAGGTGTAAGGCCCTTTCACCCAGCCATCTGCCCTCTGCTGAAGGGTTTCCTCATATACAGCCCGGGCTATTTCAGGGTCTGCACCAACTCGTCTGCATGACGCATGGATCATCTTCTTTGCCCACACTGAAGAGTCTTTGAGCTGCTGCACAGAAATCATGGCAGGTTTGAGGCGCGCAGGGAACTGCTTTGACTCCGGCATCTGACCTGTCAACTTGAAGCCTTCGATTAACTCTGTAAAGAGATTCTCATCACCAACCTTGGCATCTGCGGCCATCTCCTTGAATAGAAGCAGTCGTTTGCCCTCCAGCACGCGTCTGACATCGGGATCCAGCGAGTTCTTGAGTTTGTTCTCCTCACTGGAGAGCTGGGCTGCTCTCTCTGTATATCTTCTTAGCTGCTGGGCCCTGAATTTCAACACCTCCGCCTTAGTGTGGTCCCTAATGAACACCATGGCCTTTAGGTTGCTCTTGTCCACTGTATGAGGGCTGTCCAAAGGGTGCTCTAACGTTAGGGCCTTGTCCAAAAACTCCCAGGGTGAATGAAAAACACCATATGACGACAGGGAAAAAACCTTCTTCTCGCCATTCTCCCCCACTTCAGTTACCATTCGAGAAGAAATCAACTTAGAGTGCAAGGGGAGGCCCTGAAATGGAGCGTGCACATTGTCCTCGATGGACGCGGGAATGGTGACATCAGTTGATTTGATGTCGATTTTGAATTTGAAATCACCCACCAGCAAGGGAGCCCTGGCTCCTCGGGGTTGTAAACCTGAGCCCATGCGCTGTTCTTGTTCAATTTGACCGGAAGAGAGGGACAAATTCTTTCCATCTCTTTGCAGTTGCTCTATAAACGCAAGGGCCAATTGGCGGCATAAACCGCTAGGATATTCCGTCTCCAGACTTGTTGAAAATTTCATTTCAGATCCAGCAGGCTGCGCCACCATTCCCCAAGGCAAATGTGGGTGGCTTTCATCACATTCCAAAAGCAAGTTTGCAGCATGAAAGTTCATCAAAAAGGACGTACGCTTCTTTCTTTTTCCACCATACATGCAAGAGTGGACATGCTGAAAACGAAAAGTGCCAGGCAGTTGGAGGAAAGGGTCAGTCATCCACATGAGCGACCGGCGGGGGTTTTCACAAATAAACGGAATACCTTTTCTCTCACAGAGATCCATGACCTTTCTTGCAAACGCATACAACTTGTTGGCAGCAAGAACTTTGATTTTTGCAACTCCGCGCAAACTAGACAAACCCATTGGCTCAGCTTCAGATCTGAGCGGAACTGGTTGCATCCCTTTCCTAAGCTTGTGCCGTTTGGGCAGTGGAATTTCACGTGCTCTTGACGCCGTTCCACACGGCGGTGCCAGCATCACAGCGTCCACCTTGTCCTCCTCTATCCACTGCAAGACTGTAGCTTGGCCGTCCTGCTTTGACAAATCTACTTTCGCTACAGGTCCTTTGACCCTTCTCTTGTCTATTATGTGGTCAATTCCCAGGGCCTCTCCACCCATTGCTCTAAACGCTGCAGCCACGCCAGCTGTACCACAAAATAAATCCAAAAGGAAAAGTTGCTTTGAATGCGTTGTTGCATTCGACCCTGCCCGACCATCAACTTCTTGATTGGCAGCAGGTCCAGTATGACTCGACTGTTCTTCAGCGATGTCACAAAAAGACCGAGGCTCTTTTGCCTCAGTTGTGTCCGTTGCAGAGCGCATTCGCTTTGCAACCAACGTCTGCTCAAGGCATCCACTGCCTTCAAAAAGGGCGGCTGACACACGCTTTCGTGAGTCTGCCACCAGGCGATCCTCATCGCCCTCTTTGCCATCTGCTTTCAAGGCAACTCTTGCAGCTAGTCACGAGCGAGGTTTATGGGCTGTGACAAAGGCATGTCGCTTGTTGCAACCCTTCTTGCAACATGTATGAAGTCCCTTCGGACAATCTCCTGAGTGAGAGCAAGTGCCCAGGTTGAACCCAAAACAAATTGGCTGGCCGTCCTCGTTGCAAGGCACACAGCCGGCCAGCTTCTTCGGCATAGGCGTCCTTTTCAACTTTTTGATCCGGAGTGCCTCTTGTTTGTTCTTGTTTGGCTCCACCTTGGTCCTTTTGGGTTCTGCATCCTGTGAAGTCTTTCCAGGGGCATCGCCATGATGTGTTTTTGCCACAGGCCGCTTTGGCGAGCCACTTCAATTCAGGGCCCTCCAAGATAGCTTTGGCTGGCAAGTCAAGGGGCAACTCTCCAGCCGGGCCGTTGCGGAAACCCGCACGTGTGGCCTCAGCCAATCTGACATGAAGCTCCCTGTCAGCTGCTGCAACCTGCTGCAAGGTCACCTGAGCAAAACCTTCCATGGGCTCTTTCTTCAGCTCGAAGAAGAAATAGTTGATAATTGATTCGTGCACCTCAAACGTCATCGCCTGAGCGATCTCATATGCCACTCCACGTCGTCTCAGTGCGTGGTGCACATCGAGCTCTGTGTTCAAGACTGCGGCCAAAGCAGGGTCTTTGTTCGTGGCCCTGATAGCACCTGAGCTGTCAGCTTTCCATATCTTCAAGTCATTCTGCAGATGGTCGTGGATCACAAGGGCACAATTTCCAAATGTGACATCTCGAATTTTCTGGACCTTGAAGCAAAGGCACAGGATGGATACTATGTCATCAAAGGGAGGTTCGACAATTTGAGACAGTTTCTCCACACTCTGAGAGAATCCGGAGTTGAACATGCCTTGACCAAATGTGGTTGGATGGTCACGTGTCACTTTGTCAACATCTATGAACCTATCAAGGCAGACATCATTTTGTTCCGGAAGCCACTGGCCACAGCAGTGTCGGCAGAATTTGTGAGGGCCCTGTTGCGTTCCAGCCTGGTTTGCATCGGCATGCCAAGACCAGTCAAATCCGATGACAGGAGTGTTTTGGCAAAGATCAAACTTTGGGGCACAGTCATTTTTCATGGTCACCTGGACAGGAACATGCAAATGCAGGATTTGATTGACGTTTGGGAGCAAGCATCCACAATTGTGTGTGACATGGTTCCTGTACGTTTGGTTGGTACTTCAGGTTACATCAATCCAGACTACCCTTTGAGGTATTACACGAGATGTGATGAGAACAATCAGACGGTGGCCACCATCAGTTTCATGATTGGGCTTCATGGAGGAGGCTACGTTGACAAACAGCCAAACAATCCACAGGAGTACATCACGCAACAGCGAAATGCCTTGGCGACTTTTCTCATTTCTCAGGGAGCGGATATACAGGGATGTTTGAAATTTATCGAGGCTGCGGTACATGGAGCCGGCCCAGGGGCGATTGCCTCTATCCTGGGCCAAAAACAGCCGGCCAAAAGGTGGGATGGGCTCATTCAACTGGCCTCAGCCCTTCATATCCAGATCCCGGACATAATGAGCAGAATGAGTAAAGCAAGAGACAAGGTGCAAAACAGGTTTTCGCAGCAGAACAGGCAACCACTCAGGGATATTCCAGTTGATGCTTTGACATTGCAGTCTGGATTCATTTGCAATGAGGACGGAACGGCATGCAATCAGATACCGAAGTTAGTCCCCAACTCCACAGGTATCGTGCTCATGGATGAAAAACAGGCTTTGCCATGGCTGCAGGAGCGTGCAGTCATCAGCCAGGACGAGTTGGCTCTTGCGGTGATAGGTGGCCAGGGACTTTGCGATGGATTTGAGGGCCAGAAGGTGAGGATTCCAGTCTCCCACAATGGGGAACCACTGATACTCCAAGCATTGCTCTTCAATCTCGGAGCAAAAGAGGCCACTATGTCTCAAAAGGACTTTGACATGATTCCGGCTTCAGATTCACAAGTCATTGCAGTCACGGCTTATCAGGATGAAGTGGACGCAGATTCCTGGGCTGCTTTTGTGCAATCACCGGTGAAGAATATCATGAAGGTTTTGCTTCCAGATCAAAATGACTACAGTTTTTTGTCGTCACCCTGGGGCCGTTCCTTTCAAAAAGCGGGAAAAAAATCAGAGCCGAAGTTTGCCACCTCGATTCAATTCCATGCTAGGGTGCTCAAGTCTGATTTGCGGATGTTCTTGAAGGCATCAGGAGCGTCTGGAATTTACACAGTGCCGAAGTCAGAAGACCGACGGATTTTGTCGGATTACCAAGTGGTGTGGTTACAACAGACAAAGGTCGAACTTGCAGTCTCGTTGTCAAGATGTGACAATCATTGTGGGATTGTGCGTGGTCAGAAGAGCGATGGCAAAGGAAGAGGCATCCGTTTTGCAAGACAAGATTTTGTTGCCGCCCATGCATTACTGAAGCCAGACGCACCATCACCCAGTCAGGTCATTTCAAACTATTTGTTCAAAGTGGCACCTACTCCCGTTGGAACGACATTTGAACAGATTCAGGCATGGCTTGCAGCACAGACATTTGAGGCGAAACCCATTCGAGCTTTATCCAGTACGATTTGGCTATGTGGGACAGAATCCAAGTTTGACAGTGTCTTTTTACAATGGAACGACACACCAGTTTTGATTCGGTGGGTCAATCAGAAAAAAGGCAATGCCCCAATCATTCTTGCGGGGAATCTTCAACAGGAGGCCAAGGTGAAGACAGTGACTCGGCAAGAGGCCGAGACAAGCAATGCATTGGCCGATGATCCCTGGAGATCATATATTGAGAACAAGGGAGGGACGGGTTTGGCTCAGACGGCTGCCCTTTCCAAAGTGAACGTCACTCCTGTTCTTTCTCAGCCCCCCAGGAAATTGGAGGCACCAATTGAGGACCGGTTCAATGCGCATCAGACTGCGCTGCAGGACCTGAGAGACAAAGGTGAGAAAGATGTTGAGGCTCTCCGTGGAGATATTGCCAAACTGGAGAAATCGATTCAGGCACAGCAACAGCAGGTGCAACACAATATGGAGATGACGAATGCTGAATTCAAGGCAATTCGATCAGAAGCTTGCACACAGCTACAATCGATTTCAGCAACCTTTCAGGAGAGTTTGCAGAAGGCTCTGCAACAGCATGATCACCAGATGTACAACCAGTTCAGTGAACTCAAGCAATTGATGCTGAACAAGGAACCAAAATTGTCACCACCACAGAAGAAGCCAAGGGCAGGACATATGGAAGATTTGAGCGACACAGATGCGAAGCTATGACTAGATCACCTTGCGACCGTGAGGGGTCTTCATTTTTTCATGGCTGGCTACAATATTTTACATGATGATGCAATTAATTCATTGGCCGACCTACAGTTGATATGCTATCCTGTAGGATGCAGGCGCTATGATGGATCAGGTCATTTTGACCGTGCAACAGTGATGCAGTCTCACTTGGCATATACGAGCTTTTTCGGGCTTGAGAGTGCCACACAGAGCCATCCAGAATCTGGGTATGAATCCAACATCTTTTGCAATTTCATTTATCCATGGTGTGCCCTCTACTTGATGAGGTTTTTCACAATGTTCTTTGCTGTTTGTGTCGGGCAGGCGTCAAACCCAGGTCCTGTGCCAGAATCTCTCAAACTTGTGATTGCCAATCCCACGGCTCTGCACAAAAAAGTAGATAGGCTGCTGAAGATGAATGCCGATGTCATTGTCACGTCCGAGACAAGTGCAACTAGTGTTATACAAAAGGAAATTTCCCAAGAAATGAAAAGATGTAACTTCCGATCTTTTTGGTGTCCACCTGTTGCTCCAAAGAAGCATACCCTTGACAATCGTCCAAGTTACAGAGGGGAAGCTTTGGGAACTGCAATTTTTTCAAGATGTCCAAGTCGGGTGACTAGGGCCATCGCCTCAACTGCCTTGATGGATTCACAGCGATTTTGTTCGTGTGTTGTCAGATTTGGTACTTTCGAAATTTTGGTGGTCGCTGTTTATGGTTTTGCTGTTCGTCATATGGAAGGGAAACGCCCCAATGATCTGTTGTTGGCCAGTATTGCCGCTTTTGTTGAGCAAGTGAATCTTCCTTTCATTATTTGTGGGGACTTCAACGAACCACCAACAAAGCTTGCAAGCTTTGATTTCTTCCGTGACAAAGGGGCAGTTGAGGCATTTCAGTGGTTTGAGGATAGGTTTGGATATAAACTACCTCCAACATGCGCTGGCTCAACCAGGAACGACACTGCAATTATTCATCCCATTTTGATTGGTTATATCCAACATATGAAAGTTCTCTCTGAGCATGAGTTTGACATTCATACACCTTTTCAGATCGAATTTTCGGTTTCAAACAAGGTTCAACAGAAGATCTCATGGAAACTTCCCAAGAACTGGGCATCTTTGGCACCACCAGCTGGAATCATTCAAAGTTTTTATGAACCCATCGATTTTTCACATGCATGGGACTGCGATGATGAGGATTGCAGTGAAAACATTGACTCAATTTTGCAGCTCTGGTCGGAGAGGGTTGAGACTGCAGTTGATAGGTCGCTTGCATCTCTATACAAAGAGGATCCAGTGCAAAACCAACACAATGGACTTCCGGATGCGTACAAGGGGCGTTGCAAGAGTTTCGAGCCAAAAGAAGTCAAATCAGACACGCCTATTCGATCAGACAGACATGGAGGATTTAACCCACCGTCCGAAGTTTTTGGTCTTCAAGCCAGACTCAAGATTCGACAAGTCAGGAGACTGAAGTCCTTATTTCGCAGACTCAAATCGTTACCGATGCATACGGACAACAATCCTCAGGTGATGAGGAATTTTTCAGATGCACTTATCGAGTGGAGAAAAATCAGACTGGCAAAAGGGTACGGTCACAGCTGGCAAAATTGGATTCTGGCCTATGATGCGGTAACGCCTTTTAATTTGAATCTACCATCCGTGGAACAATTGGAGCTTTTTACAGAGATCACTCAGATCGACTGCAATCATGCATGCTATGAGGAATCCAGACAAAGAGCAGATGCCTTCAAATGTAGGATGAAGATTGATCAAGACCATGATTTCAGCAGAATGACATACCGGATCGTCAAAGGCAAGGATTCTTTGGTCCTGAATGAGGTTCCGGTGGATCGACAGGTATCCTACACTCTCTTGCGTTGCCATGACAAGAGATCGTGCGTACGTATTGGGGAAGATGTGGAAATACCTCAGCATGCACAGGTTCATTTGAATCAGGCCAAGATTGAGGTCGTGGCACAGGAGGGTAGAAGAGTTTTCTTCAGAGTTTTGGAAGGTACTATCGATGCTTCTGGTTTTCTCAGATTACATCATACTGCATTGACACCCAGTGAAATTACATCGGAGTTTTCGCGCTTTTGGAAGCCATATTGGCAAAGAGATGCGGCTTCGGAACAGTTTTCCAGTCATACTTGGAGCACTTTTATGGAGGATTTGGATGAGTGCAATTTACCACTGATTCCTCAAGTGACATTGGATTTTTTGGACGTTAAGAGGTTGCGCAAAGTCATTCGCAAGTTACCCAGCGGCAAAGCAGCTGGACCTTGCGGATGGAATAATGATGAAATCAAGAGCCTCCCTCATGCGTGTATTGCAGATTTGGCTGAGATCTTTCAGTTGGTTTCCAAGCATGGATTTGGTGTTCGGATGATGATGGCAAAGACGGCTCTTCTGTCGAAGATTTCAATTCCCACATCAATGCATCATGTTAGACCGGTCACTATTCTGAGCAGTCTATACAGGCTGTACACGAAAGTCATTTTCCAGACTGTTGCACACGTCTGGAAGCAATATTTTCCAGTCCACATTTCAGGGGGTCTCCCTGGACGTGGGGTCAAGGAGATTGCCTACGTACAGAAGCGACAAATCGAGGAAGCATTGAAGCACAATCGCACGTGCGGTGGGCTGACAATGGATCTTATCAAAGCATTTAATACATTTGGTCGCTTTGCTGTTGGGGCCATCATGGTCAGGTTGGGAGTCCCTCAGGTTATTGTAGACTCTTGGATCAGGAGTCTCAGTTTGATGGTCAGGTACCCAACACTGGATGGGCATGTTGGTCATGGTATATACAGCACAACAGGGGTTCCGGAAGGATGTTCTGTCAGTGTTCTGGCGATGTTGGCTACGTCTTGCTATTTTTATCACAGACTGGCTAACCCAAAACTCCAACCATTCACGTATGCGGACAACTGGAGTTGGTTGGCATTTGAACAGAAGGAACATTTCATTGCTTTTCGAAAGATGGTCATGGTTGTTGGGCGACTGAGGCTTCAGTTGGACTGCAACAAAAGTTGGCATTGGGGTACAGTCAAGTCTTTTCGACAAGCCTGTAGCGATTTCCACAGTGCGAACCCGGATTTCGGTGCAATTTCCATCAAGACTCATACAAAGGACCTTGGAGAGATGGTACACTATGACAAATCATGCTCTTTGGGCTTCATCAAAGACAAAATTGATGAGGCCAAAACACGTATGAAAAAAATTGAATGGATACCGGCACCCCTCCAAAAGAAAGCCATGATCATCCAGTCTTCATGCTGGCCACTGGCATTGCATACTTCGGATACAACATACATTGGACAGCAACATTATGTTGGCCTACGGCGCAGTGTACTTCATGCGTTGGTAGGCTTTTGGCATACATCCTCTCCTTTCTTGGCATGCAGATTGCTGTCCAAACATGTCACCGATCCATTTTTATTCACTTTGTGTTTGTGTGCTCGGACAATTCGGAGATTGGCAAATTTGCAAAGGGAAGTGGCAATACAAACAGTTCAAGCCATTGTGGATTATAATGGATCTAGACCATATGGACCAGCTTCTGCACTCAAATGTTATTTGAATCATGTTGGATGGAGTATCCAGACAGATGGCACAATTACAGGTCCGGAAAACATTGCGTGCAATCTCTTGGAGGATTCGACCAGATTGATTGTCTGGACATTCAACAGGATGTGGGATTTGCACATGGTGCTGATCTCCGAAAGGAAAGGTATGGGTGACTTCTACCTAGATACGCAGCTTGGTATGAAGCAGTTCGCTTTGTTATCAGATGAAGATCAACAGCTTGTCAAGCTTAATGTTGTTGGTGGCTTTCAGACAGACAAAAGAAAGGCAGGTTGGTCCGAAGATGTGGAAGGCTCTTGTATGTTCTGTGGGCAGGCAGACACGAGGTCACACAGACTCTTGGAGTGTGAATATTTCAAGAGCCTCAGAGAGCAGAATCAGGAAGCTTGCGACATTTTGGCGAATACAAGAGAGGAGTGGGTTTTTTTGCCGCTGCCTCGACTTCACCCTGAGGTTTTCCTGTTGCAGCATTTCCTATCGATGATTCAGGATGTACCCATTCCGGAACCGAAGAGACAGAACACAGTTTTTATGAGATTTTTTACAGATGGCGGGGCGATAAACCCCACCTGTCCCATGGCGAGGATTGCATCGTGGTCTGTGGTGGAAGATCTCTCAATGGATGAAACCCAACAAAAATCAGTTGCTGATTTTGCACACACTTTGCAGCCACACTTTCCACTTTTTCACGTTGCTGCTCTGGGTTTGGTCAAAGGATATCAAACGGCATCGAGAGGCGAGTTGACAGCGATTGTCGTGGCTGCAAAGATTGCTGCCAAGAATCCATTGGCCGAAGAAGTTCACTTCGTGACAGATGCGGCTTATGTTTGTGCAGTCATCACAATGATTATCAACCGGATTTTTCATGGAGTTTTGCACAAACTACCCAATTCTGATTTGGTGCTGGAGTTGGCTGATCTATGGGATCCACAACGATATCAGGTCATCAAAGTCAAGAGTCACAGGTCTTTTGGAAGTGCAAGGGACCTGTTGGATCTTTGGCAGATTGCAGGCAATTTTTGTGCGGATATGGCGGCAACTTCAGTTTTGAAGACAATACCAGAGCCGATGAGGAAATTGGCTGACAACATTGCTTCATTCCAGAAAACGGAGGGTCAGCGACTTTTGACAGTGTTCAAGTTTTTGGCACAATTTAACCGAGAAAGGACACAGGCATGTCATATCTTGGAAAGAGAGAAAGCGAATCACAACAGAAACTTGGAGCAGCCGAAGAAACCACCCGAGCGTGTTCTGGGAAATTTTGATTCGGAGGCAATGGGTCATGAGGCATTCCTCATTTTGAGGGATTTTGCACCACAAGGATACAAGTTTTTGGTCACTGCCCCTATTTCTGATGACATATTTGGTATGTGTCTTCAGGGAGCTAATTTGGGCAAGGCACTTGTTTTATGGGCCGGGCTTTTGCAATGGCCGGAGAACTATGGGGAAGCTGACAAAAATGATTGGGGTATGAGTTGGCTTGAACTGATTTTCAATTTTTACATTGTCACGGGCCATAATCTTCCTATTCGTTTGGAGGGCTATGGGGCCAAGTCAGTGTACATCCCCTACCACAGTTCGCAAGCAATTCTGCTACCCAAATCGAAAAGGTCGGCTTCTTTGCAGATTCTCACTTTTCGAAATCTTCTTCAAAATATGCAGTCAATTGAGTCTCAAAATTTTTTCCCTTCCTTCAAGGAGTCAAAGTGTAAGTCATTACAGAGACTTGGACATGTTTGTCCCGTTGCTGGGGTACCAAGAAGACCTATTATTCCTCGACAAGCTGAGACAATCGTTGCGGTCCAACGATACATTCAATCCCTGCAATCTTCTGCGGCTCTGCATCAGGTGATTTACCTCAAAGATATTCAACCATCTCTCAACTTTCAAACAATTGAAGAACCTTCCACCTATACAAGATTCAACCGATACTCTCAATTTATGAAGAAATTGAGAAAGACACGGCAGTAATTTGTAATTTGATTTGCACGTTTTGCTAGTACCATTGATAGTTTCTACTTCGTACTGCCCGCCACCTGCGCTTGGGGGTATGGAGTGTGGACCATTCTGGATCCGCGTGTCTGCTGTCTTCCTTCACATTGTTTACCTCTTGTGTGCGCGATGTGCAACGCGCCCATTCAATGTACCTCACTCTGCCATCCTCCACGCACTGCACCAACGAATTGATCAAGTGATGTGACGGTTCCAGAAAGTTGGCCACAATCAACGGGTGAATTCTGGCCTGCAGCAACTCGATCCTTTGGGCTATTTCGGGCGCAGGAAGTTTCCTGGGCGCCTCCTGCTCTGTCGAGTCCACCTTGCGTTTCATCTCGGCAGCGGTCAAGGTGTGGGCTTCGAAGAACAATCTCCTAAGCTTTGGAGCGTCTCTATGGTCAGCGTTCCCAAGCAATGGTGTGATGACACCGTCTGCAAAGATCTGTTCATCTCCACCCGGCGTCGTTGCAACTGAGAAAGCATAAGTTGCATGTGACACCCATCCACGCAATCCCATTTGGGTAATGACCTGGTCATCGATGCCAATAGCCCTAGCCCTTGCTTCGAACACAGGTGTACTGTCCACCAAAGACATGGCTGCGCCAGTCCCGTTGCGGAGGAGGTCTCAGGGGTGACCAAAAAAAAATCAAAGCAAAATTGTCATGCCAAACATCTGCACTTTTGAACCCTTGAATTTTCAACATGTGACGAATGCAACAACCTGCAAAAAGGATTCTCCTAGTCCATGACAGCATTCCGTCATCTGGAGCCTGAAGTCACATGAACATCAAATCACACTCATGGCCCTCTGGCCACGGCTTGCACTGGTGGTGATTGACGCCTCAAAAAAAATTGATATGCTCACTCCGTGCGCAAGAGTGAGCGCTTCCCTTCGCCCACAGCTTCAAACCCTTTTGCCCCTCTTGTGCTTCTTCAAGAGTGTCGCTCTGAATTAGTGAGCCCCGTCAGCCCACTACTTATATTCAAAAGCATGGCACTGCGCATCTGGAACTTGGAAATCATTGAAAAAAAATCTGACTGATCATGAACAACATTCAAGACAAACAGCTGCAACACACGTCCAAAACAACTGAGTGCAAACATTGACACTGCAGGCCACGACCGACATCCGGTGCTGCGGTTTGCAACAGCGTGTCCATCATCCCTTCTGTCCAGGTGACAGGATGCCACAACATGTCGTGGACGTGCATTCATGTTGACTGGATGTCTGTTTGAAAAAGTTTGACTGAGTTTGAAACAACAAAACTTTTTATTCCAGTGAATTTCACTTTCAACCCCACGACACACTGAACAACAATGCACATGCCTAGATTGAATCCAGTCTGAGCCCACGACTTCCGTGAAACGTGCTCTCTCCAGAACACTTCTGTCCAATCAGTACATGCCGCATCATTGAAACATGGTGGTTGAAAACAGAGATTAATGAAGCTGCAAATGTGGTTGGAAACAAAGTTGCAAAGTTGGACAACACCTTCAATGCCAATTGGACACCCCAAGCGACACTAACTGAGTTCGGAACTGGGTTGCGTCTTTCGCGCCAGGTGAACATGGGTTTCACTGTCCATCGATGCACCATTGTTTCACGTAAAACCAACCACACAAGAAAAACAGAAAGTGCAAAAGTCAGACATCACTGAACAAATGTTGGTCGACTCAGCTCCCAGCAAAACACCTAGTGCATTTGTACGGGAAGAAGTTCCCTGCTGCTTGGATCTGCTCAAAGTTTCGTGACGCAATCTTCCCGCACTTAAGGACAGTTGATTCACCATCGTCTGGGTCACATGCTGAGTCTCTTGCGACATGACAGCAACCACTATGAACATGTCTGAAAACAACTGCACTGATGGACGGCTCTAAGGACTGCGCGAAACCCTCACGGACTATGGGAGCTGCGACCTCTGCATCACGCTCCTCATCCGAAGTTGCATAGTCTCTGCCCAGCACAGGTCTGTCGCTGACATCACTGACCGATGAAATTGACTCAGCTTCAAAATTTTCATTTGATGCAACTGAAGGTGAATAAGGTTCAGACGGTGGTCGCACAAATTCGAAACCCTCTACATCGGCAGGTTCAAAATGTGCTGTGTCAACTTCACAATTTTCATGCTGATACCAAAATTCTTCTGCATTTGCACTTGCAAGCCACATCATGACTGACTGTAGTGAATTGCAACCCTCTCTAGGCCAACGCTTAGCTCTTGACACATCGGGGTTGAACAGCCCATGTTGTATCGCCGCAGTGATGGCTTCAAGGGCCAACAGCACTGGGGCTTGAGCATCACGACTGTACTCCAAAGCCATCTTGGACCCAGGATCAGTATGGTAACCAGCAAGGCGTCTCAAATCGCCTTCACAGCCTGCCTTCGCCATCATGCTAAGCCATGTTGCCTTCAATGAATGAGTGCCAATGTCTGTCAGCGATGGCACGGGCTCGAAGTTGTTCAGGATCTCTCGTAGCCACGTCGTGGCCTGACTCGGCTCCAAGGGGATCAGGGCCCAGCCACCTGCTGCAAGTGGGGCCGGCATAGTTGGGACTCCAGGCCCAGCCGTCAGGCCCTGTTCACTCCTAAGTTGTGACCACGGAGAGGCCCAGTCATAGCCTGAAAGTCCAGGCAAATTGCAAGCCGCTGGCAATAGTCTTTTTGCATGTTTCTGTCTTCCAGCGTTCTTGTGGTGGTACAGCTGGCATTCCAAAAATCCCTTTCCTTGATGCAGGTCTGTCGCAGGTTCATGCTGGCAAAACTGTCCATCGGACCAACGAAGCCTCATATGCAAGACCATGCAGAGGTATCCAGCAAAAACCGACTCCTGAGCAGACCCTTCCATTGCTAAATGTTCCAAAAAGCAAACCTGGGCAACAGTCAAGGGAATCTTCTTCTTTGGAATGACCAGCGGCACAGTTGAAGCACCTTTCACACGTGGCGACCTAATAGTATCGCCAACATCAGCTCCAAGCATATGAAAAGCGAAAGACACAGCTTCCAAAAACCTCGTAGCCTTTGTCCTCGGGGCATTGTGCTCCCTCAATTCAGTGACATACATGTAAGCTTCATGCTCTGTAATAGGAAAAATCCTGGCATCTGTAACAAGCACTTTCTTCCACCTCGCAAAGGCCAAAAGTGAAGACGCTCTGGCACGAAGTGTCGCCACTGACTTCCCACTCAAGGCGTCACTAACGGACTGCTCAATTGTCTTTGAGTCCGGATCGCCCCTTAGTGCTTCTTCGATCTGCCTTCCAACCATGGAACCAGACAAATTGTCCATCACTATGATCCTCCATGACTCCAAAGCTCTTGCCAATGCTCTGTTCTGTGCGATAGGCCAAGGAATTAGAGATGTAGCCTTGGACCATCTCACAACACCTTGTGCTTCGGCAACAGGGATCGATATCTCTGCATCGTCACGTGGAACTGAAGGGACAAACACTGGCGGCTGAATCAGACGTGGTTTCTTTGCAAAAACAGGATTGATGGGTTCACGTTCCCAGGGCATCTTAATGTCCGCCCGTTTCACTCCAAGTCCAAAAGCAGCCGCATGTATCACAAGATCCATGGCAAAAAGGAGACTCAAAAGTCTCGAAAGTCTCACTACCCCCATTCAGCCTCCGGGAAGTGAGACTTTGTCCCACCCACCCACCCTTGAAACTTAAAAAGACGGATGTCAAAAACTGTTCAAACAAAACAGAGATCCACAAAAGGATCAAAACACTGAGGTTTGTTTTGACAGTTTGTTTGCAACAGCAACTTAAACAAGTTTGGGAGTTAAGAGGTCAATACCTTAAACTTCCAAAGCGCGAAACGCAGGGATGCGAGGCGCACGCGTGGAGGAAGAGAGGACGGTGGCTTCCCACCTGTAGACTAGGTTTTATAAGGGCTCATCACTAAAGTGAGACGCAACCTGTTCGACATTGTCAATGTAGGCCAGCCAAATACAGTTGTATCGCTGAAGTCTTTCGACCACTGTAATAGCTAATCCACAATGTAGATCAAAGTCGTGTCAAAACGATGTCGTCCTCATAGAAATAACCAAAGTCATCTCAGGAACGATAAAAAGCACACCATAAGATCAAGTGCATGATCCATAGGTCACGATGACGATGATGTAGGTATTGTCCTCACAATACCGAAACATCTCATCACAAAACTCTCAGACAAATAAGATGCCCAAATATGATCATTGCCTTCGCAATGCCAATGCATCTCAAGGTCCAAGCTCAAAGCATAGTAGGTTCTCTCCATCAGATATTTCCAGCTAGCTTAAACTCTTCTCCAAGAGTTTATAGCTGTGTTCTCATCACTTGGAGAGAATGAGCTTCACAATACACCGTGTCCAGAAATGGCGTGGACACAATAAATAATCTCAATGTCAAACCAATGTAAGTATCTTCAGTTCAGGCAATAAGCCGTACCAGACTCAAGTCGAATCCAGAATAAGATGTAGAACTGATCCATATACCACAATCACTGGTCAACACTGATCAATGACATCATCCTGATGTCAGAAATAATAAGTCCGAAGACCAATAGAATATTGTGACACAGGATGGTCACATACAAGATTCCTTCCGCAATAAGTAGAGTGTTCTCTACCAATCTTCCATGACTTCTTGCAGTAACCTTCCACATATACTCTGTGCATAGTTTATGCACAATGATGGATGACATGTCGCTTCACCCTCACCCAAAGGGTGGTCCCATAGGGTGTCAAATTTCCATACCCCCTTTCGACATGACATCCCATCCACTCACCTCACTTCCAGATACGGATACCAATCGAATATCCGCAGAAAATGTTCACGTTTCAGATCACATCCATGATCAAAAGATGTTCAAAGAAGTACACGGACTTCCAAAAATGCAAGGTAGACGATAAAGTATCGTCCAAACTCATCTTGTTCGACTCATGCATAATGTCGTAACTTCCAAATTCAAAATCTTCTCTGTCGCGAAAGCCAGATGTTGGAATACCAGACTCAGTCCAAAGACTCCTAAAGTCTTTCCAGTACTAAGCTCGTCTTCCAAGATGCAGTTCCTCGGATAAACCATGGCGTCGATAATGATATATCTACAGTGCTGTTGTCTTCCTACAACACACAAAACAACAACAACAGAACAAAACAAAACAAACACACACACGAGACCCAAGACGAAACCTAACGTCGCACGATCGGAGTCAACACGAAAACAAGGGCCAACTGTTTCGGCTAATCCGCACCTTCGTGAAGAAGGTAGGCGTATGAAAAGAAAACGCAAGTGAAATAATATCACTCATGCAACTCATCTCAAATTCAAAGCAAGTGAAGTACAGTTCACAGTCACTGCACAACAAATTCAAAACGTTCTGAATGAGAATCTCTCACCGTCAGGGCCAGGACTAGCTAAGATTGGCACAGAATGAGGAAGCTGTGAGAGATATTCTGTCCATAGACTCAAACAAGACATATCACACCTCCGAGATCTTTAGGATGGATCAGACGTTGAAAGGGTGTGTAATACGTTTGCAATCATGTCATCAGATTCTCCCGGAAGATTTTCCACTACTTAAACTCAGATTCCTTCCGAGTTTCTTCCCAGG